AATTCATACTGTTTCGCTTTGTCTTTGAGTGGATGTTACTTATTTCAGAAATGTGGTTTGCTTTCCGCAATATTTGGCGACGAATGCTTTCTACCCACGCTGTGGTACCTTTAGAAACTTTGAATTACAATCGTGTTCGTGGTTGCAAGTCTTTCAGTCACGATTTCTGATTTGTAAACGTAGGTCTGACTTATTTATCCAACGGAAAGAGTTCTCTGGAAGACTCAGTCCCTAGAGCAAATCCGGCGTCAGAAGAAAATGTTCCATGTCTTAAATTAATCTGATTATAGCAGGAGAAACAAAAGACCAATATAAAACAAATCCAATGTATAAACTGAATTTTTACGCACTTTGCTTATGTGATTTGCATAGTGAAAATCAGAATACTTGTGGACCGGCAGATGTGTATATTCAGGATTTACAACATAAACAAAATCTCCGTCTTCGAATGCATGTAATCATTAACCTAACTGAGCACAAGCAATGTCGTTTAACGGTAAATTGGTAACTGAAATACTCCGAAAATATCACGGGGGGTGGGGGGTTTCATTTTGTTATTATTATTATTTGCTTTTTATTTTGCAATAATTAATAAGGATGTTTAAATCCTTCAATCAATAAGGATGTTTAAATCCTTCAATCGTGATATGATTAAACTATGATCAGTATCTCGATCATTTGATACAGTTTGATGAAATACTGAGATAATAAGATAGCAAATCATAAAATAGGTACAATGAACATAAAGTCAAGACCCGATTCCAATCAAGCAATCTATGATAATCAGAACAGAAAACTGCTTTCTATAAAGATCAGAACAAGAATGATTACCGTAATAGTTTAATGAAGCATATGGTAATGTTGAACGGTTCAATGAAGCAATGATAGTGTTGATCGGTTCTCAAAAAACTAAAAGAGATAATTGTACCATTCTTCATTCTTTTCCACCCTGCATATTTCAAGATCGCTCAGCGCGTTTAACCAAGTCGTCTACACTTCCTTTAAAGGAAAAATACATTTGAACTTAGCATTCTCCCATTTGAGTTTTCTTGTATCATCAGTGGTCTAGATTAAATCCAACGAAAACCGGTGGACTGTCTCCTCTCCGAAAATCATTGATCATCGTCATCATTCTACCATTATTGCTACTATTTTCATCATTATCATTAATATCTTCATCATTATCATTAATATCTGCATCATTTTTGCTGTAGTAGAAATATGTATTTGTCAGCGGCAGATTATCAGTTATGTATTCAATATTAACTTTTTTGTCCATGTTCAAAGGTGATGACCCCTGGTATCAGAAGGCGAGCTATTATTGGCCGTTCAACACGCTCAAAGATCCTGGAATTTTAGACCAAAGAGGTACCACAAGTGTACAGGCCTACAGCAAGAACGGACTTCAACTGGATGGATTTCTAGGAAGCTGGGCTGACTTAGGAAATTTCTCTTATCACTGTATAAGTAATCCAGAAGCTTGTAAAACAGGGTTTACGGCAACTTTTTGGCTTCGAGTTGACGATCGTCAGAGCAAACGATTTGTCATGCAGATAGGTTCTGCCACGCAAGCTGTTGGAACAACGATGCAAGTCGACGGTGATTTTTTTGGTGTTTATGTAAATGGTCGTGTAACCCAGCGACACGTACAAGTAAACTGGACTTACGCGAGCTGGGTTTTCGTGGCTCTTTCGTGGAACAAAACAGAGAACAAAATTAATGTTTTTCTCAACTGTAGTAGCGTGCCGTACGAGAAATATAACGTTGGGAAAAATTTTAAGTTTTCGTCGGTTCCGCCAAATCATATGCTAATCCTGGGTGCGAGCAATGCTCGGTTAAATAGCATCAAGATGACCATAGACGAACTAGCTATCTGGAATGATGTTCTATCAAAACAGGATGTTTGTTATATCATGGAGTCCAAGGCAGGTAATATGGAACATTCTACATTTGTGTATCATTTCAAATCGATCATTGAAGACAAAGGGTTTTTGTGTGTTTATGTTGACAAAAGGCACCCCTTGTAGTTTATGAGTGGATCTCGGGATAAGTTTAGGATTAATGTGATATACTTGCGAGCCTTTCGAAATGTATGATTGAGCGACAATAATGCAAACCATACTCGCCGATTATCGCGAAGATCGCGATTCATCGACCATCTTCGAATGATACTTCATCCGGAACGAGTATTACGGTGATACATCGTGCAATTATTGTTATAACCGCCGCGTTATCTCGTTGAGTTCTTTGAGAAGTAGTTTTCGAATTCTGTCTTCTCATTCCTATTTCTTCTCCTTTCTTTGTTTCCGTGTGCACTTTGATAAATTGTGCTAGGGCCGAGAAGGGTAAAAAAAACCTTACCTCAGCAGAGTGGAGGAAAGTGAAATAGGCTGGAATAAGAAGGCACTCAAAAGACCATTTGAACAATGCAGAAACTGCATTAAATTTTCATAATGCACAAACTTTAAACAATTTCCTATATGTATGGGTATGGAGCATTGTAGTAACATTATTATAACAGAGGCATTCTTTAGTGAAACGTATATGTTATATGTAATTAGTCCGCATACAGATAAGTCAATGAGCAAAGGAGGTAGAAAGGAATCGAAATAAGAATAGGAAACAGACAATAAAGATTGGAAGGCCTTTTTTTCTGACTGGCCCATTCTGACTGTTTTCTTATGACACTAGAGCCTGATTAAGCAAAGAAGTATTTCAAGGTAAGGTATTTTATTTAAAACGTCAGATCGAGAACTTACATGCGATCCTGTCCTTGCAAGAATTTTTGGTGTCAAAAGAGTAATAAATAAAAGGGCTCTGTACCCCCACACCCTCTCCCTGGATTCGCCACTGGGCCTTGAAAATCAGCCTTTTCCAGCAATAACGTATCTGATATTACGTTTTTAGTGGATGGAAAATACACTGAGTGGTCTGAATTTAGTCCATGTACGGTCTCATGTGGACTGGGTGTGAAAACAAGGAATAGAACTTGCACGAACCCTCCGCCAAAACACGGAGGCAGCTCCTGTGAAGGTTCTTCAATCGATGTGGAAGATTGCTTTCTCAGAGACTGTCCTATCCATGGTAACTACTCTGCATGGTCGGAATTCAGCTCTTGCACACTCACATGCGGAGACGGTAAACAATACAGAACTAGAACTTGCACCCGTCCCAGTCCTCAATACGGTGGATTCAACTGTTCAACGTTAGGTCCTGAGCTAGAGGAAGTGGATTGTAATGAAAATCCTTGTCCAATTGATGGCCGTTACAGTGGATGGTCAGATTATAGTGAATGTTCTACAAGCTGCGGCACAGGAACAAAGACTAGGACGAGAACATGCACTGAGCCAGCTCCTCAGTATGGAGGTAGAGACTGCACAATATTTGGGCCCGCGAATGAACAGCTATCCTGCTTTATTAAGGTGTGTCCTATTGATGGTAACTATAGCAACTGGAGTGCATTCAGTCTTTGTACAAAAACTTGCGGTGTAGGAAAACAAACACGAACGAGAAAATGTGATAATCCTGTCCCTGTTGGTGATGGCAGAAATTGTTCTCACCTTGGACCAGCAATGGAAAACCAGCGGTGTAACACTGAGGCGTGTCCAGTCAACGGAGGTTACTCGAACTGGTCTGATTTCAGCCCATGTACAAAATCTTGTGCAGGTGGAACGCATTTTCGGACACGCAACTGCACAAATCCGAGACCCGAAGCAGGTGGACTGGATTGTACTCGTCTGGGACCTCCAAGGGAGGTGGAGCATTGTAACACAAAACCCTGCCCTGTAGATGGAGGTTACGGAAATTGGTCGAACTTCTCATCATGTTCTCGATCTTGTGGTGGAGGCGAGAGCGTCAGGTCACGGCAATGCAACAACCCTGCACCAAAACACGAGGGAAAGGATTGCTCGATCTTCGGACCATCAAGAGAGAGTCGTGCTTGCAACGCAAATTTGTGTCCTGGTAGGATCTATTTTGTTTTTTTTCTTGTTTCTCTTTCTTTAACTATGTGCAGCTCAAATTAGCACTGATAAAATTATGGAAGAAACCTCCTCCTTGATATACCAAAACTCATCCTTGATATACCAACGGAATACTTTAAACGTGTAAAAACCGCTGAAAGCGAAAGTTCATCAATTTCATTATTGCAGTTCATATAATTATTCAAGTCTCGGTGCGTGGTTTCATTTAAAAGGAAAAAGACTGAAACTTAATGAAAAATGCTTCACGATGATTGGTAGTTCGTATTGCGATCAGGTGTATTTCATTCCAAGGTGACTAAACACACACCATTTCTAGTCACTTCATTTTAAGTGACTTTCTGTATGTAATAGTATATATTTACAACTGCGTTACTTACTTTTTTCTTTCTTTTTTTTATTCAGATATCAGTTTTGTTGCGCCCGTCAGTTTTCCAGACGAAACGTTTACTCCGGAACTATTGGATCCAAAAAGTGTGATCAGAGGAGCGCTTACAAACAAGATCAGGTACAATGTAAGTTTCTTTCACATTTATCCTCGTAGTATCGTGATTAAGTGTAACCTGACATTCACAGTTTATGTGATCAGCATTCTTTCAACTCAGAAGTCTTCTTATTACGATCTTTAGTATTGTTTAAGGGCTTTTTTTTTCAAATGTCACATACAGCGTTGTCTGGCTCCTCACCAAAGGAGATACCCTGTGATATTGTTAGTTTTAGATATACTTGTTGTAAGCTTGCTATACTTTGACTACTTAACAAATTGCATGTCTTCCACGGGTTAATCAGGGTTACTGGATTTTGTAATCAAAGTTGCTCAATGTTGTAAGAAATGCATGAGATTTTAACTCGACATAAATTCCTTTTTATAATCTGTTTGATCCCTGGCCGTTCAAATACTAGTTTCCTTGTTGTTTCCCAGTTGCCTAGCTCTTTGCTCAACTTGGGACTGGTATTTTCGTCTTTTTACACGTTTTATTTATTTATACGATTTTCAGTTACTGCATATTTACGACGAAGATTCTGCTCTGGACTCACTTGATGTCAAATGGTGTGGAGCTGCTGAGAGCTCGGGGAAAGGGTGAGAAGTCGTAAATAGATTGAAAATAACAGTCATCGGGAATTTTAAAAAAATTAATAGTTTGGGTGGATCTTCTTGTTCACTGTTTCCAAATCGAATTGGAATATGTAATATTGTTTTTTTTTCGGAGGGAGGAAAACCGGAGGACCCGGAGAAAAACCCTCGATGCAAGGACGAGAACCAACAACAAACTCGACCCACATATAACACCAGGTCCGGGAATCGAACTCGGGCCACAGCGGTGGGAGGCGTATGCTCACACCACTGCACTATCCCTGCTCCTTGCATCGCACATCGGCCAACTTTTTTTAAATTTGCATTATCGCAATACGGTATCCACTCGACATAGAATCTTAACAAAATCAAAAGACCTAGTTTGAAAAAAGTAACTCGACCTGATCTAAAAATTGGGATCCCTTGCTTAACAGTATGGGTTCTTACTATGTCTTAATCTTTTGAAGGACACCTTTCTTTTATTTGTCGCCTGTTAAGAGCTATAGAAGATAACACAGTCGATGTAATTAGTTAGGGAGCTGTTGAGGTTGTGTTGAAGATTTCAAGAGTTTGCCAAAGAGCAGTGTGGTACTGAATTGGCCGAACATGTTTCCATAATTGAATTGAACTATAAAGCGTCTTTTGGAGTAAGTATTGTGAATGGAATTTTGCGTGAATAGCAGCTTGAAGTCAAATATTTTCCTACTCTTCGTGATGTCGTATCTCAAATCTTATCAACCAATGTTAGAAATGTATTGAAAAGGACGTGCGATGATGGAAAATTTTCAGTCTGCGTGTAAAAAGATAAACATGGGAAAAAGTCATCGCAGTCGTCCCCAGACCTGGATGTTGCCTCAACTTGCTACGTCTTACGACCTCTTAACTCCGATACAAGGACCAACTGAAGGACAAGAATATTCTCACATGGTTTCACTGTTTTTTTCAGGGCTGTTGTACAATGCGTTCTACAGTTTAATTTCAGGGCTGCTCGGTACAGCGGAATAATTGCATTACAAGAAGCTCTGATAGTAAAGAAGATGCTGCATACAATGGAAGCTAAAGCGGAATACATCTCCAGCGGTGACGGTAAGTTTCTGATGTAATTGTGCGTTAAAGTTTTATGGTAAATGGAAGAAAATGTAAACTGTAATATGTTGCAATTAAGGGAGGTTTAGAAATTTGGCGTTCATAAAATTGAAGCAGTTGAATGAGACAAATATTGATTTTGACGACACACAATTTGTACCCGCAAAGGTGTAACTACGTAACTTAGGAAAAAAATAAGAATTTTTAAATAAACTTAGGGATGGTGACTAACACAGTGAGAGCGCATGCGCATGACCGAATCAGTTTTTTTTTTCTTAAATGTGATTTTTAAGTCACATTCGACGAAGTTAGAACATCTTCAAATGTTTATTTATCTTATTTTGCGTTCGCATTCATCGAGAGGGTAATCACTTTTTATTACTATGACTGATCATAGAATGCACGTCACGCTTCTGCTAAAACAGCACATTCTTTATTAGTTCCTAGTTACGCGCCTGAAAACGTCACAGCTCGAAACACAAGCTCTCGAAGCATCATGGTCACATGGAACAAAATTCGACCCCACACTGTTGTTGGCGGGAATATCCTTGGCTATCGTCTTGTTTACACTGCGCATGATGACGCTTCTTCGCGGAATCGTGTGATATCTGGAGAGGAAAACACAGAATCAGAGCTGAGGAACTTAAAGATCTACACCTTGTATTGTGTGCGTGTCATGGGATACAACAGGAGAGGGGATGGAATAGCTTCATTCCCAGTGTGCGCTTACACAGATAAGGATGGTAAGAAATTGTTTAGAAAGTATGAAAACTTTAGACATTTAGCAAGGGAAATAAATGTGTATTCGACACTGTGATAATCTTACTGTTATTGTTGGCAGTCCGAGGCCGAGCTCCAGATCCAGTGATTCGGCCGAGGTTATAGTTCGGTGTTTTTAGTCTAGACACTTTATTCCTACAGTGCTTCGCCCAACGTGTCCAAAAAGGCAGACGAACTGAGCGAATTCAATCAGGGTGCGGAGTGAACTTCACGTACCGGGAAGTGTTGCAATTTTCATCAGATCATTTGGTTAAACATTTTAGAAAAGATGGTTATTGATTATTCCATTTGACGACTGGAATCTTGCTATACTCATTTTTCACACTGACAAAGGCACACGGTTAGTTCAATACGCTCGGAATAATCTTGAGGGAGGTTGGTTTTTTGGTTTTTGAGTTTGAAAATAAAAATGGTCCCTTCATTCTTAGTTACCTCAAATGACTGAATGTTTGGTCATGTGCTAATGTAAGATATGACATCAGTTCCAGATGGTGCACCTGCAATTGTGAGCGCCCGAAACCTGAGCTCCACGGAGCTTTTCGTTGAATGGGAACGGCTGCCAGAGAAGTACCTTCATGGAGTCTTGCTTGGCTACCAGATGAATCTCACAAGGGTAGGAACGAAAGTAACAGAAGTGATAAAAATCCTGCCCAGTGTCACAAGCCATCGATTTTCTGGACTAGTGATATATAATTGCTACGTAATCAGCATAGCAGCTATCAATGAGATAGGAGTGGGTGTCTTCAGCCAAGATCTTATTGCATGGACAGACGAGGGTGGTAAGGTTCTCTGTTGGTTTTAATAATTTTCTGCAACTCTTAAAGCCCTTCTGCTTTTATAGTCTGAGCTATGTAAAGTTAAGAGGTTAACTGCATGGAAAACTCGTGGGAGTCAGTAAGGCTGATTCTTAACTACCAGTTATCTAAAAGTGAGGGAGGAATCAGCGATTGTCGAATGAACATAATTCATTGCTGTATACTCACCAAGAAAATGCCGATCTAAACACGTAATAGATACCAATCACATTGCAACATCTGTAATAGAACGTTATTAGCTCTATACTAATCTTTGGTATAAGGTTAGTGAAAGAAAGTAAAAAAAAAACATGGTTTGAGATTTGTGCATTTGCACATTACTGCTAATACAATGATATTATTTTCCCTCGATTTATTTGGTCGATACGGGCGGTCATAGTCGATTCGAGCGTTGCCCTCATTAGCTCCCACTCGATATAAATTTGGAGCTCCTAAGTCAATTGTAGAGGTGTGGTCGCCTCATGGAGTGGTCTGGGCGCGAGTCCTGGCCGGGGAATCGTGTTTTGTTCTTGGGCAAGACACGTGGCTCTCACAGTGCCCCTCTTAACCCATAATGTAATAATGGGGGTAGCCCTTGGATGAACTAGCATTCCATCCAGGGGGAGTAGAAATACTCCTACTCACTTTATGCAACGGAAACTGGATTTACGCACAGGCCTGATAGGCCACCTGGCTCGGGAACAGGCTTTACTTTTCATAGCCTAATTGGCAGGTGGATGATTATTATAGTAAATACAACACCCTTAATCACTAAACGGCTACATCAGTATATGCACTTTTTGTCTGTTTATCTGCTTGAGTCTTCAAATCAATTTTCGTTTCCAATCTCGCAGTTCCCAGCAGGGCTCCAAATATTTCACAGATATACTATACCAGTTCTACGAGCATTCGAGTGCACTGGGACCCTCTTCCCCAACGGTATGTACACGGCCGGTTGCTAGGATACCGAGTAGAATATCGTCGTGTGGAACCAGGCTTTCTTAACATCTGGAAAACAGAGGTTGTTGGTGCAAACATCCACCACGTCCCCATCTACGGTCTTAAGAAATATGGAGCGTATGTTTTCCAGGTTGGGGCGTTCACCAGGAGAGGAGAGGGATTGCTGTCTAAAGGTTACATGATCAGGACGGACGAGGATGGTAAGCAGCTGTACTCTACGCCTGATGTCGACGCAGTCGTTTCCCTTACCAGTTGTTCAGTCAAACGAACGTATTCTCTTCTTCATTGTTCCTTTTTAATTTCATGCTGCCTTATAATTTATTTAACCGTCTTTCAATGATCCGTATGTAAAGCTAACTAAACTAAAGTTTTTCGGATACATACGAAATGCTTTCTTGATAACTTTCGTGACATATACGGCCCTCCACTCGATTATAAAAGAAATGTTTGTAAAACACCCTTTGCGTGCATGAAGTGTACTTCCTGCCTGCTTATTAGCGGGTTGTGTTAAATAGTTTATCCACAAAAACAAAAGAAATGGTTGACGAGTTAAACTTCTTTGCAATCCAAATGTGTTTAAAATGGAGCGTACTTTGAACGTTTTGTCACCTTTAGTCTCATATTCCTATAGGGGGTATCAAATGGTGAAAATATTAGGGTCAAGTGTCAGCGATGCTCTGCTTTTAATTTTTTTTAACAAAGCGTGCAAGGGCTTCTAACATTTCATTATCGATCGATTACAGTATCCCAAAATCTATATCCTTAGTTCTGCACTAGGCTATGGTAAAACTGTTCCCTATGAACAGATGTTAAGAACCGTCCAATTTTATAATCTTAGGCAACGACGTGTCTATCAGTCTACAGTATTAGTTTATAAGAATCAATATAGAGAGTATCCTGAGTACATAAAAGACCTATTTAGCTCTAAAAAAAAAACGGTTACATTCTCAGGAGAGATGGATGTAAGCTAGCTCTACCTTAGCTTAACTTATTATCAGATACTATGAAATATATGAAGTTCATATATTTTGAACTGCGGTATTAGATACATATGATACACGATCCTTGCAGTAGATAGCGCTATTTAAGCAATAGCGAAAATCAGACCTGAAAAAAATCATATTAAGAAGGCTATTCTTGAGAGTCATAGCATCATTTCTTTTTTTAATTATCACTATTAATTTCTTGATATTTCGTTGTATACTATGTTTGTAATTTATTTAATCATTTTTTGTTGTTTACCCATGTTCGTATTTTGAACGATCAGTAATAGGTCCTGGACGATACTTGTACAAATAAAGATTTGCATAAATTTTTTTGTACTTTATCAGACCTTACTAAACCTCCAATAGTTTAAGTCTCTTTTTCTCGATACAGTGCCTTCTAAACCTCCGCAGAATTTTACTGTTGCCAAGGACAACTCCACTTCAACAAGCTTATTCATCCATTGGCGACCTGTGCCTGTAAATCATCAAAACGGCGTTATCCTTGGCTATAGAATTCTGTATAAGAAATCGCGGTCAAGTCAAGAAATGCTAAGAACAAGGAACGTGTCAGCTGAGTCAACCACAGTGGAGCTAAAGAACCTGTCCAAGTACACAGAATACGATGTCACCATCTTAGCTTACACTTCGAAGGGGAACGGCGTCAGAGCAAAGTTTTTCACTGTTTCCACAAGAGAAGACCGTAAGTCCTCCCTAGAAGTTTATAAAAGTTTTTATGACTGTAATCATTGCCATTATCATCCTGAATTTTTTTTTAAAGGACGACGATATGCCACCTAATTAACCCTTTAAACACGCATCTAGTTTCTCCCTGCAGCTATAATTTGAATCATTCAACAAGTTTACGAGAATAAAGGAAATGATCGCCAAGCTAGGAACCTTTGATTGATAAACGAATTCATCTTGTGAGCACCAATAGACGTAGAGAGGACAGTATGGGAAATATGGAGAAATAATGATATTTAGAAATAATGATTTCAGGGTGTGTATGGTTAAATTAACATCAATTAATGTAGAATCAAAGTGGTTAAAGCTGAAGTTTCGAGCATTAGCCCTTCGTCATTCACTCAGACGAAGGGCTAACGCTCGAAACGTCAGCTTTAAAACTCTTTACGGACGCCAATTTACATTATTAACTCCATTGATAAAACCAAAATTACCATGTTACTTCCACCAACGCAGCATCGCAGTTTCTTTAGAAACTTACCCGTTTTATCATATTGGGAAGATGTTTCTCCAGTTAGCAAGTTGAATATCCGATGAAAAGTCCAAACTTGAAGGATATCTTTTTTCTTCATACATCTTAGGGCCAAGCAGACCACCAACATTAACCAATGTTTTCAACACGAGTTCTACGAAAATTAAAGTGAATTGGAATCCAATAGCACGCGGCTATGTCCATGGAGTGCTATCCGGGTATGTAGTTTTATATCGTGCCATGAACGAGTCCCAGGACTTGTACAAGGATCACGAAGTGGGACCGAACAGCACCGGCGTGGAGCTGATAGGACTGTGGAAATACACCTACTACGGCATCAGAGTCTTAGGTTTTACTAGAATGGGCTGGGGTGTCATAAGCCCTGAAGTTGTCGTGCAGACCGATGAGGATGGTAATTTTGAATTTGTTTTGTTGGTTCGTTGCTTTTTTTAAGTATTAGTAAATTGGCTTCTCTTTAAATTCATCAGTAGAGACTGGTATCTATTACCTCAAGGTCTAGATATATAGACTAAAATCACGGTCATAGCTATGCTGACGTAGTCCATAGAAGCCACTACGGACAGGCCCATTAGTGGAGTTTAGGAGATAATTTACGTTTATATTTCGGATTCAAGAAAAAAACTGCATCAGCACTAGAGAAAAGAGACATGTTATCATTGAAAACTTACCGTTGGCAAAGTATATTACAAAAAATGCAATATGCCTCTTTCTGAATATGATAAATTGTCAAGGTAAAACTTGCCAAAGAAGGAATTTGCCATTGACAATGTTTTGTTTTTTTTTTTACCAAAGACATGTACACGTAACACATTTGCAAAGAAGAGTAGAAACACGTGTAGCCATTAAATTGTATAATCTAATACCTTTGCAATCCCTATGCAGCTCCAGGAAGGCCTCCAGAAAATATTCAAGCCATAAGCAAATTCACTCCCACGACGATCCCAGTATCATGGAAACCGATTGGGAATCCTTATTATGTTCATGGCATACTGTTGGGTTATACAGTGACTTATCGAGGGCTCAGGAACCCTGATACAGAGCTAGGCGAGCAGGAGAAAAACATCACAGTTGGACCAAAAATTTTTGCTCTTGAGCTTCGCAATTTGGAATCTTTTACAATTTACAGCATCGAGGTTCGAGCGTTTACCAGAAAAGGCAACGGCACACCTTCCTCGGTTATTTTTGCGGGTAGGTTTGCAAATTTTTACAATCTTGTTCGAAACTGCTCACATTTTGACATGTGGGGCGATTTTTTACCGTGTTCGTATTTTGTCAGCACAATTAAAATAATCACCCCATGTGGAATGTTGCATCAAGTTTTCTAAGAAAATTGCTTCCACACAATCATTTGAGAATGATGATGACTCTTTAGCTTACATTGGTCTCTCGATTCAGTGGAAAAAATTTAAAGAACTTCATTTCTTGTTTGCTATAGAAACCTGTAACTGCTACAGGAAGCTTCACACAAACTATTGGCTGAACCCTCCATATATGGCGGAAGGTGCGATCGGCAACGCTAGTGGTATTTTCCCGCCAATACTGCATCTTGTCGTTCGCAGCTGTTGTGGTGAATGTAAACAACATGGCTACACAGAAATTGACTTTCGTTACTCGGGGCGCAACTTTTCAGCTAAGAAAAGTTCCGAGAAAAAAGTGAGAGAAGCAATAGATGACCCGAACGAGTTAAGCTTTCCCGTTTACGGACGAATGGAGCAATCGGATTATTCTAATGAGTATGGTTTTGCGCCTTTGGTGCAGTCCGCTGGAGTGTCGTTCATAGTAGCTGGAGACGAACCTGGAGCTGCGGCCAAAATGGTGGTCAAAGCTGTGTTTAACTTGTGGCCTTTGATCGTGACTGTGTTCATTTCAGCTTTCTTCTCTGGAATTGTCATGTGGCTTATGGTGAGTGTTGTTTGATTTTTTACTCACTACTTATCAGAATTTTTTTTTGAAGAACAACCACTTTATGGTTACGTCTAGCTCATTTAATTTTCAGTAGCCTTTACAGTTTATGCCTTGCAAGGCTTAGGCTCGGTAGTAATATCTCATTAATGTCTCTATGAATGAATGAATTCCTTATTTATATTGCGCCCGTTCTATACAATATCCAAAGGCGCATTACCCCCCATCAATTTGATAGACACTACACAAAGATAGACCACAACACCGGGCACTACGTGCCCTACTCTTTTCGAACAGTGTGTGGGTTCTTTAACGTCCCACAAATTTTTTTCACATACAAGGGCTTGTGAGAGTGGACCTCCATTTATCGTCCCTATCCGAGAAGACCAGAAAAGTCTAACCATTTGCAGATATTATTGCAAAGGCAGCACTTTCTTCTCAGTTAAGTAAAGACTCTGAGTGTTGGTCCGGCCGGATTTGAACTCACGACCTCCCGCACAACAGTCCGGCGCTCTACCAATTTAGCTAACCGGGAGGCGGTTAATAATGATGCAATTCGTTTGGGGGAACTAAACCAAAACACAATTAAAACACACACAAAAAAAAACAAAATTGAGGCAGGGGATTTTTGTTCACCACATTTCACTTGAGCGGAATGGATTACAACAACGACTTTTCTCTCTGGGCTTACTTGCAGTCCATAATTTTTTTCCAACAGGATTTCTTTTTTAATGCACAAGAATTTCCTTCCTCCCTTATAAGAGGACCAATTGAAGGAATGTGGTGGGCCTTTGTCACCATGACAACTCTTGGGTAAGATAAAAATGGAACATGTGTTGTTTGCTCGCCTGGTTTCTATTCCTAATCAATTAAAGCAAGGAAGGCTTGTAAGTACATAGTCACAAAATATTAACACAAGTTACATAAAGTATGATCGAGTCGCATTTCTTAGGCAGAGCTGTTAAGGTCTTATTATCAATTACTGATCTCAAAAGGGAGCATTCCTTTCCTACAAATACCTCTCTATGGCCATACCCCTTTTATGGTCTTGATGTCGATTGAAAATATGACACCAAGAACGAAAACTTACATTCTGAGTTAAGATTGTTGCATTATCGGGTATAAAGGTTCTGTGGTACAATTTTGCATTTTTTTTTGTCAGGTATGGAGATCGTGTGCCCCGTGCTATACACTCTAAGTTCTTTGGAATCGTGTGGATCACGTGTGGCCTAGTCATCATCGCGCTGGTGATGTCGTTCATCACCACGTCGTTGACAATGGATGTCATCAAATCGGATATCGCCGTGTATGGATCAAAGGTATGATTACAGTTTGTCTTTCAAACTTAAATAGCGAAACAAGTCTGTGAATCTTACAATTTCGACCAGACCTCCTTTGAAATTCCACAATTTTAACACTGTTAACATTATGAACTTTCCTCTTCGCCCTAACTTCTTGCGAGGACTTAGCTTTAATCAAAATTTAAAGTACCTCTCTCGGTTCCTCGGTGGCTCAGTTCTAAAGGATTATGTTTCTCCATCAATATACCTTATTAATAATGTTTACTTCTTGACATTTTAAGGTTTCCGCCATTGATGATTCCCCGGAATTTCGTCTTGGAATTCGACTGAATGCTCGCATGCATGGAGGTAAGCTCGAATTAAACTCAGAGTCCAGTCAAGAAGGACTGAAAGTATATCTCTCGAGGAGGATTTTTGAAGGAAAAGTGCTCGGTTAAAGGTTTCTTTAGACTTCAGTGTGTCCAAGAACATAGTAGCTCCCTGAGATTTTTCCTCGTCGGATCGCCTTGTTCAAAGACTGAAATTATTGGACAAAGGCTCATCTCAAGGAAAAAGAAGGTAACATAGTTATGTCTTCTCTATCAATTGAACTATTATAAACATAGTGCCAAAAAGGTTCATTTTTTTTTACCCACAGTATCGACTCTTGAGGACCTATACCAGTCCTTGAAAGACAGACGTGTAGATGGCGCCCTCATAGATTCATACACTCTAGGAAGTCGAAAGGAGTTGTTCAGTGATGGAGTTCTTCGTATGACCAAGATTATCTCTTTTTCCTCAGCATATGGAGTCGTAATGGCTGGATATGCTAGAAAGTTGCAAAAATGCTTTCGTGACTTTCTAAAAGAGGAGAGAGCGTCCGTATTTCAAATTATCACCAATAACGTTCAAGGCGTCACGGTAATTATCATTGTTGCTATATGATGAGTCTTTTCTTCCTTTGTTGTATGACTGTTCGCCAGTTACTGTAGTATTTCAGGAGAAAGAAACTAAACGAAGCTTTTACAAACAACTTCCTGTCCTCGTTGGGGCATCGTTTCTTTAAACAGCAGATAGGATACTCCGATCTCAAGCAATGTTTCTCTAATGTGTCTCTTTGTTTACTCTAAAAAACGACTACCAAAGTTTCTTGCATTTGAGAATAAGCTGTTTCGAGATGTCAATAAAAATCGTAGTCACGGATTGCGTTGGCGACATAAATTTTGTATAAAGGGGGTACGTTTCTAAAGAAACTGTGGTGCTGCGTCAGGGGGGGGGGTAACAAGGTAGTTTGGTAATATCAACTAAGTTGAAATAGTAAATTGGCTGCCGTAAAGAGTTAAAAAGCTGACGTTTCAAGCGTCAGCCCTACGTTAGAGCGAATCAACTTTGTATATGCTGTTGCATCGAAGGATGTCCACCACAACTTTTATATAGATGGGTTATATCGGGGTGTAAACTGTGGCTAAAAAAAAAACCAAAAACGTTACCAACTGACTTGTTTCATCGTCCGATCAGGGGTTGGGTGAGCGGAAAGCTACTATCGGCGTATGACATGAAACAAACAACCTGACTGGGTGTGATATATGATGTCCTAAATCGATCTCAGCCACCAGTCTGAGTGAGAGAACCTCGTTTTGAGCTCATTTTGGAAGCACAACTCACACGCAAACAAGGTTGTTATTTGATTAATGATCAGAACATTATGCTGAATTTTTAGGGACTACAGAAAGACACTACGGCCGAGAAGACAGATAGTTTGTTTGATGCAGAGTCTGTGGTGTACATCCAGACGATTACGTGGTGTGGAGGTGCACTTGGTGTGTTGACAGTTATCTTCCTGTTGTATGAGAGAGCCACCAGGAAGAATCGTAGTCCATCTCCAAAGAGACTCGGTAAGATACTCGAATTCTATGAGTTGAGGAGTAAGAATTTAGAGAAATCGTGGCACCAAAGTATGCAGGAAGTATTACAACATAATTTATATTTATCAGTTGAGCTGATGATGCAAATCGGCCACCGTAAAAAGTTTCTAAAGCTGACTTGTCGATTGGGTTTCTGAGTCGTTTGACTCCCGAGTGAGCCGTCCAGTTGTTAACTCTCAGCAAGATTGTACACCCATGACTAAAATGGAAGTGAGTCTTTGATAGCTAATGTCTTCCCCACAACTCCGTTCTTTACAGAGACCCACTGATCTCCTTTGCATTTCAACGCCTCGCTACTTTGGAAATAAAAAAAAAAAAAGAAAAAAAAAACCTTGATTCATTTTAAAAGTATTCATCACTGCTCTGATTATTTATAGTATACCCGATTTCTCAGTGACAAGTGTTCAATGATGTTAAATAGTTTAAGCTGACAAGAATAAGCATAAGGATATTGACATACTTTATCTCTTTTTTTCTGAACCAGAACATCGTGACTACTTGGAATCTTTAAATAAACAAAAACCAATGTACAAATATAACAACAGCAAAGAAACAATGAAAACGATTCTCACTGACTTCCACAAAAACTGTCGTCTCAGGCTGGAAAATCTCAAAGCAAAACATCGGCAGGAGTTGCGTCTTTTGACGCGATTAAAGCAAGAGCAAGCCGATAAAGGAAGAACTGAAGCCTTGAATGGGAATGTTAATAAGAGTTACTCTGCGATTCCCTTCCGAAGGAGCATTGTACGGCACCATCACAACGGTGTGGTTCCATGATTGAATGTGCTGAGTATTAAAGTACAGCCGATATGATGAAACTGATTCTCTCTGAGGGCATTATAGCTCCTCAAATTATCATGGACTTGCGTTGCCTGAAGGTTCTCATAAAATGTTTCCATGGTGACCGTGTCTTTTGACACCAGCATTTATGTGCGAGTTCCACGTTTTTACCGAAATTACCTGTGTCTTAACATCTAAGTGATATGATGCAACTGATTCTCCCTTAAGGCAATATGGTTCCTCAAACAATTGTGGACTTGTATTGCCAGAAGGCTCTCCTGAAATGTTTCCATGGTGACCGCGTCTTTTAACACCAGCATTTATGTGCCAGTCCCACCTTGTTGCAGAAATTACTTCATCAAATGTTTAAGGATGAAATAAAATGGAAGGGGAGATTGGAAGTTGCAACAGTGGTCTTACGTAAATAGGATAGAGTTAGTATAGCTGCATTTCACAGGTTAACAGAAATACGTGATTTAGGCCAATGATTTTAATTTGTATGCATGTCTTAATAAATAGGTTTCATCGTTCCTGAAAATACAAGCGAAGAATAGCGAATATATCGGCAATTTAGCAACAAATTCCCAGAAAGAGATTATAACTGAGATGTTAATAATCTTTTGCTTCCCAGTTATACCTTGTTATGGCTTTTTGACTCGATCAGAGAATGCAACTACTCTTTGTGTCTTAAGATTTAAAATGAGTATTTTGGTGATATAACTGAAAGTATCTCTGGAAAGTGCTCAATTTACCTTGATACGTGAAATTCTTTCTGATTGACGCATTCTAGAACTGAATGCCGTTTATTCCCGAAATGTAGTGTTCCTGATATAGAACATCCGTGAAAAATGTCAAATGTCTGCTGAGTGCAGATTATTTTTAAAAACAGCAAATTTATTTCAATTTGTTAATAACGTAACTAAAAATCATTTAACCAAATAAAAGAACTGCTAGACGGAAATTCCGCCCACTCTTTTTGCTTATTGAGAATTTTCAGCTTGAATACCTTTTCCGATTTGTTTATTAAAAATTAGATCGCGACCTCGTGACAGTCGATGAGGGCGTAGTCAGACTCCAGTGCCGTGTAAAGCACGCAAAAGAATCGTGGGCGACTAATCCAGTTGTTTTAGATTACAACTGCTAGTCCTTCAAAGATGAACAACAATGCAATCTTATGTTTTATTCCATTTTGTCTACAGCTACGCGCTGTTAGGCCATTAAATTTAGCCACTATCAATCACGGAATAGATAGCGAGTAGCGTAGCCAATCGGAGTGCAACATTTCTGATAGAGCGGTAGCAGAGTTAAACTGAACTAAAATGATGTAGAACCGAAAAAAAAAAATGTGTCGCATGTGCTTTGGGGTCTGTGTTTCGAAAGTCCAAGTGGTTCCGGTCCCATTCAAAAAGTGTTTCCAATTTGTAGTTTTTACATTCAACGTTGATATATTGGTTGTTCTGTAATTGAAATAAATCAAGCAATAATAAAGTCTCTAAAAGAAATGGAGTGAACTGATTTTTGAGCTAGGATCCCAAGGATTCTGGAGTTTTACCTCGGCTAAGCTAAGGTACCAAAAGAAGAGCTGTGAAATCGCTTTTAAATGCATGTTCTTCTAGGTGTCAGCATACCCTTTCTAAAGTGTTAGACAGGTCTACATGTCTCTTTTATTATTCAGGCAAAAAAAGCATTTCTCGTCTCGGTCTCATGTTTATAATGCTAGAGGGAAGGATTGTACCATATAAATGACAAAATTTCCGCGTACAGATCTCTTTATTTAAAAAGCTGTGCTTATTGTTTCCAAGCGAAACTGATTTACATATTGACATTTCATAGCGTTGCTAATACGAGATAACGGTTCTATGAAATGAGGGTTTACAAGAATTAAGTTCAGCCTTTGGAATTGACGAAACTGACGAGTGGCTGTATCCTTATGCTACTCGTTTACTATTATTAGAGTCATTTTCAATTGAGAGCCGACAAACCAAAACCAAAGTAATGAAAACTACCAGTAAGAACATTGCAAAGGTTAACATCATCGTCAACCAATGAGAGCTCAAAGTGAAAACAGACAACCTGATTGAAGTGCGGGAAAACGTAAGTGAGCAGGTCGGGATTGCTTTTAGTTTTCCTTTTCAGATATTGGTTCAAGTTATATGGACCAATCACAGAGAGAAGTGAAGCAAAAAACCAAAGCAATCCAGAATCCACTTTCCAAACTCAATTGATAACTGCTCTACCCATCATATTAGAGATCGTAGGTTTGGAAACCCAACAGATTTTCGTGTAGTCTGCCCCTGTAAGAGGCAATTACATTCAGCTCTTTTGAGAAACTGACCAAGTTTACATTAATTCATTCAGTCACAGTACGAGCAAATGGACGCAAATGATTGAGCTGTCAGGGTGCTTCCGACATATATAATCTACAGCGTTGTTTTTTTTTTCATCTCGGCCTTTTTCCGGCTCTCCTATCCAGACATCTATCTTAACTACGCTTGGATGTGTGCCCATTTCTATAAAATGTATAAAGATTATCTAAATTCGTTTTTATTCGAGATGTACAGAAGGTGAAACGATTCGATGATCTATCTTCTGCCTTAATCACAACTGCTTAACGGTACTTGTAGCTAAATAAAATGAAACTGGATAACACACAAAGTATACATGGAAATATAAAGCTGTAGTATAAAAAGATACTAAAATTATTGCTCACACCATGAAAAAAATCACGCACACTGTCAGAGGACTTATTCAAAATAGTGGGTTTTTTAGTGGCTTACGGATCCAGCAAGATTCTCTTATTGTAATCGATACTCTGGAAAACAAAAAGCTAAAATTTTTGAAATTGAGGCGCAATCGAAATTTAACGCCACCGAACTGTGTTTCACACTGATTTACAACTTTTTAACAAACAGGTTTGTCTATGTTTGTTATAGCCAGATTTTAATTTGGATAGGGTCACTACTTACATTTTAAGTAAGACTTGAATTATGTTCGGACAAAGTAAAAATGTCTTGTCTTACCTATCAGATTTTCTTGCTATTACAATAGCTTAAAATCAAGTAAGCTTATCCAGAATGTTCGAACATTCAGCACAGAGTCAAGATCAGACCATTCGTGATGAATATTGTAAGGAACAAAACCCGGTTTGTGTTGAATAGCAGCGCAAATTGAAGAGAATGTCAATAGAATGTATCTGTTGATCGAAGAGCCTGTTTCGAAGTTTTCGATTCCTCATGAACGTGGTGGTAAACTCACGTCCTCTACAACATTTCTCTGACCATGCCAATCCAAAATTTATGTGTATAATTACAATACTTTTCATCTTAATCGACCGCGATTACTCCGACTCACCTTAATAATCACATCACAACTGTAATTAGACCTGATAGTGGAAGACTGATCTTTCTGTTTCGTTAACATTTCTTTGACAAGAGGCACGGTGGGCATTAATATTCGGTGCAAGTGGATTCATGCTTGAAAGAGAATCAATGAGTGAAACCATGTCAAAAGTTTTCCTAGCAAACGATCTTCCCTTGGCGGAGAAAACGTTTTTCGTCAAATACTTGCCATGGTCACTGAGAGATCTCCGAAGAGTCAGTGATAACGCACCGGGCACTTTGGATCTATCTCTCAGCTAGAGACCATTTGGTAATTGAGGTGGGTACTAAAACTAATTAGGTGGGTACTAAAACCAATTAAGGAGTTTTTCCATCGCTATTGCTCTCGATAGATCTTGCAAATTTCAAAATTCATCTAATATCTATATTTAACAATAGCCACCTCTCTTTAACTGCAAACTTTTTCAACGCGACCGAGTAGATTCGTCCCAGCTCACCGCTAAGGTTTTACTCTTAATGAAACAGGTATGTAACGTTCGTTCCTTATAGAAACGTGGTCTTTGAATGCAAGTTTGATCAACCAATCTTACATATTCTGCTACGTGCGATATTGATTGACGAAATTGTATACTAAGACTACTTACTGGTCTCCTATTCTTTTACTATTATTTAATTTACTACCATTTGTGCTAGACGTTTTATCAGCCCATTGAAATTACTTCGTTCTTCTACAAGAAGTGTAATTTATTTTCATTTCTTCAGTTTACTTTGCAACCTCTGTTCCTCGTCGTGTTTTTCTGTGATTTCGTCCAGTCTCTTCGTCCAGTTGTCATAAAACTCTTGAACTTCCTGCATCAATGAGTCCATCATGTCCAAGTTCCTTTTGGCCATTTCGTACCCAGGCCCCCCAAGAAGCTCAAGTTCATCTGTAAACGACAATGCAAAATAATTGAACAAAGAAAATAAATGAAATCAACACCATTGTCGTGCCTTATTCATATATGAAGTAGTCAGCAGTAGTAACAAATGAAAAAATGTAAGACGAAGGGAAGTGAGGAAAATCCCTTTTGAAACAAGATTAACTAATTTTTTTTTATTAAAGAACTGAAAACTGGTAAAAAGAAAAGTCCTAAATGATTGCATTACCACGTATAAGGATCAGTTTCAATACAGATCCTTCTCAAAAAGGGTGCAACAGTCCACCTCTATTCCCTTTCCCTTCTGGAAGGGATTCCTTTCGACGCAAAATTAAATTTGGATCGTATTGCATCGTATTCCTTGATATTTCTATAAAGTGCTTACATAACATGGAACAACATTCTATAGACTCACCCATCTCAGCCTTTTTCTTCCAATGTCTCATGTACCCGTAATCCCAAATGATCCCACAAGCAGTGAAAAACAGCAGCATACCAATGCATGAGTAGATGGCGTTTTGAAAGAGGGGAGATTTGGCATCAAACAAACCAGACGATCGCTCCACTGCTGCACTTTCTTTTGGTTCCTATAAGAGGGAGATACAAGTTTATAAAGGCAAGATTTTAATTCCTTAATCACTTTCTTCAGAGGCTCGTTCCAAAATACACAAAAGTCGTGCCATCGTGCAAATTAACCTCAAGAAAGATTGCGAGATTTCATACCCAGCTAAAGTTTGTTTTCATAGATAAAACGACAGTCAATTTGACCGGATTCATTTCAGGATTGTAGCCAAAATTTTGCAAAACAGGAGGATGACCATTTGATAAATTATAGAATAAGTTTAATTAAATAAACTAAACTACCACTGCAAATCACAAATGGTGATCATATTTCACCTCACCTTCATAGGAGTCGTATGCTTCTTTACTTCCTGAAAGATATGAGCTTGTTTGGACAGAAAATAATCCTCAAAGCAGTGTTGAAAATTCTTTTCAGATAGCCGTCCCCCTCCGAATACCACACCATAGTATGAATTGTGGTCAATGATCTTATTCACACGAAGCTCCTCACTGGAAAATTCTTTCATTTCTCCAGCGACGTACGTATCAACTAACACACCCTTCAAGCCATTCTCTCGATTCTTCAGAGGTTCCACAATCGACTGCAATGTTTCGAAAGCTGCGAGATAGTAATCGCATAACGTAGATACTCATTGGAAGCAACAATTAAATCAAATTTTCAAACGATACTCAGTTCATAAATGTTACTTACGAATGTATAGATACAGAAGATGAGAAACTTAAGAAGCCTTTATAACCTTGAGAAAGGTTTCAGAATTTCTAGAAAGGCCGCCTTATCAACTACACAGTTGTTAATTAGTTAACTGGCAGTTTGAAAGTCGACTTTGCTCTGTCAAGATAAGGATGGGTCCTCAACTGAATATGATGAATAGGTAGTCGCTTTCCGTGTTCGTACCTATAATAATGAGGATTCTGTCAAATTTTGACACTTACATGCCAACTAGCCCATAAATAAATCACGAGATTAACTATCCTTCATGTAGTTTAATCTATAACTGAGTATGCATATGGTATGATTTAACACCAACCTCGCATATTAGCATTTTTGTTCAGTCCAAGCCGGTACTCGGTTGAGTTAACCACTGCTGCAATCTGAAATGACCATAACAATAACTCAATGTAGTGTTTTTAAACGTCCATGCTGGGTGCACAATACGGTACAAAATTGTTTTGATCAGTCAGTTACGAAGGCTTTTTTAGTAAAAGATTTCCAAGTGCCCACAGTAGGAGTTCAGAGTCCATCCGACTAACTTAAGACGGTTTGTGGGGACCTGCCACTGAACTATTGGAGAAACGTACAGTACCTAAACATTCGACAAGATTCTGGATGTCAAGCACTTGATCAAGGTTTTCTTTCTTCTCTGAGAAAAATGCTTCAGGTGATATAACTTTAAGGGGAACAGTTGTCATTGAGGGCAGAATGAACCCACCTTAGTTCCATAGAGTTTGACGTCAGTACTCAGTGTGATGGCTGTAAGGGAGGTAGTCACAACACCAGTGAAAATGGACGTGATAACGAGGCCAACTAAAACCCAGACAATTGCAAAGATGCGAGCCACAAAACCCCGAGGAGATCGATCACCATAACTGAGATAAAACGAGAAATGGAAATTAGTCTAAGATTCGATTATTCATTAATTTCTTTATTTAACTTTTTTTTAAAACTTTGGTGTCCGTTATGTTGTTCAAACCCTTTTCAGGCTGTTCCATATTTTTACACCATGATAATTAAATGTGTTCGGGCCCGGACCCGCAGTGGGAGGATCTCACGCTCCCCAGTGAGACTGGACTTATGACGCGACCACCCTACTGAGGACATTTTATGTTGTGTTACTATTATGGTATATAAAAACATGTGTTTTTCTCTTGAAGTTATTTTTAGTAGTCTGAACAAAATATTTTAGTAGTCGGAACAAAACATTTTAGTTGTCTGAACAGAACATTACGGTTCTTCGAAGCCCGATTTGAGAAACCTTTGGGGATGCAAAGCACTGAGCAGAAAAGTAAACATCGAGATAAACGGTTACAGGATTGAATATGGCAGACAACTGCATCGTCAGCGGAGGAAATTGTGAGTGAAATGTCTTTTTCCTTAGTCAAAGCTGAGTTACAAAGGAGAGGATTACCGGCAAAAGGAAGGAAACCAGCTCTCATGGCCCGACTTGTCATTGCTATGAAACAAGAAGAATCTAATCCTCCATCTTTGCAAAACGAAAGTAAGGAATCGACTCATATAGGCTCTAAACAAGCCTTGCCAGCTGACAACGTGCCTGCAGCATCAATTGGTCAACTTTCGTCGTCACAGTGTGCCAATCATCAGTTAAGTAATTTTCAGTTGTTAAGAAGGAAATAAATGATCGTTGAGATGGACGGTAATGCTGTGATACAAGTAATACTTGAAACAAGCAAAAGTCCCAGCAACAACGTCATAAGAATGGAAAATCGTGTTCAAAAGTTGAATGGTTACATGGAGAGTTTCAGGGAGGTAAGAGAGGAAACATTGCTTTTATTTGTGATGATGAAGTTGCTGAGGAAGCTCAAAAGTGGATTGAGGCTGATAGTTTCGAAAGAAAAAGTTTGGGGCTGCATCGGTGGGAGTAACGAAATAATTTGGATATATCAACAAAGTTGAAGTGGTAAATTGATTGTCTAGCAACGAGTGATTGATAATGCTTTAGACATAGCTCAAGAGTATATATCTAAACAAGCAATTTCCAAAGCAGACGAAACTACTTCAGGTTCAGCGGAGCACAAACAGTCACATTTAAAATTACCAAAACTTGAGTTACCCAAATTTGATGGAGATGTTTTAAAATTTCAAAATTTTTGGGACCAATTCGAGGTTGCTATTCGTGATAATGACAATGTACCTGCTGTTCAAAAGTTCACCTATCTGCGTTCAGTACTTGAAGGGATTGCTTATCACACAATCGAGGGATTTTAAGTCACTAGTGGTAGTTATCAGCATGTTGTTGATGCTCTGAAACATCGCTTTGGTAGGAAGAGATTAATTATTTCATCTCTAGTCAAGTCAATTATCCAGTTACCAAGGTCAAACGAAGGGGTAGAGTTTTTGCGAGATCTCCATGACACGCTAAAGAATCGGATTAGAGCACTGGAGGCCTTAGGCGAAAAGCCAACGACTCATTCTTGTATCCTCCTTCCAATATTGGAAACCAAACTTCCACCTGAGTTATCCGAGAAATGGAAATTAGAACTAACTGACACAAAGGAAGAAAGTGTTTATCTTGAGCTTTTCTTCAAGTTCCTGAATAAACAAGTGATTTCCAAGGAGGCCGGAAAAAGGAATGCTAGAATGATTGGTGAGAATGGTGGAACAGCCAGAGGAGGTGGGGGATGGAACAACGATGGAACTGGGGTAATAAGGAACACCTGGGAGAAAGTGTTTTCAGCAGCTGCTCTACTAGCAAGTGAGACGAATCGGAGAAGTTATGCAGCTTGCCATGTGTGTGAGCAGGGACATGAAACCCTTAAATGTCCAGAGCTTGAGCGAAAGTCAGTTGACAAACGTTAGCAGTTAGTAAGGGAGAGCCGGCTGTATTTTAACTGTTAAAAGCCTGCAAATACTTTCCACTATTCTTCAGTCTGCCGCCAACACAAGTGCAAGGTTGAACGATGTGGCAGGCGTGATCACACTATACTTCATGGTGACTGGGATCCTACCACGGAGCAAAAGGGACATACAAAATTAAGGGGATTTGTGGCCTCGTGCGACTCCAAGATGCAACAAACCTTATTACAGACTGGGACAGTCATGCTGGTTTCAGACGGTTTCGAGAGAGCACCTGTAAGGGTTTGCCGAATCATTCGCCCTTGATGGACCTTCTGAGGTCCTTAGTGTATCCATGTTGGGGGGAGAAACCAGTCAAACGAAGAGAATGAGGAAAGTCAGGTTCTCGCTCGCCCCTGTTCAAGAAAACATTTCAACGCCAGTTAGCACGGAGGCCCTCACCATTGACAATATCTGCACACCACTAGAACCAGTGGAGATCAGGTTAGAAGATTACCCCCACCTGCAGAACTTGATACTTGCCCACTCGTACTCTCGTGGACCAGTTAACGTCGATATTTTGATAGGAGCAGACTTTTACTTTTCATTTATGAGTGGTAAATGCAAGAAAGGGGAAAACACTCATGCTCCCACAGCAGTAGAGTCAACACTTGGATGGATTGTAGGAGGACCCATCGAGGGTCTTTCTTCCAAAAGCACTCAATCCATGCTGTCTACTGTGTGCATTGATCCAGTCACGGACAGTCTTAAGCAGTTTTGGGAGCTGGAATCTATTGGAATTGTAAATAAAATGAATGCACCTATGTCCTTAGAGGAAGAAGAGTCTGTTAGACAGTTCAACGAGGGACTGAAGTTTGATGGTAAGCGTTATGAAGTACCGCTATTATGGAAAAGCCATGGTCTGCCATTGAACTCAAACTACCTCCAGGTAGTCAAGAGACTTGAGAGTGTCGAAGGACAGCTTAGAAGAAACCCAGGGAGAGCCAATGCTTACAGAGGACGCCATCCATCGAGGAACAGACGGAACACCAAAAGACCTTTGTGGGAAACACCACCTAGTAGCAGAGCCTTACGAGGCTGTAACATGAGCAACATGACCACGACTGAAGAGCCTCAAGTTGAAGAAAAACAGCCGGTTGAGAAGAAAGTTGTTTGCCAGTAAAGTGAGCGGTACAGTGAAGTGGTTTAACGTGAAGAACGGTTATCGCTTTATCAACAGAGATGACAACTAGGAGGATATATTTGTTCATCAGACTGTTATCAAGAAGAACAATCCCAAGAAGTACTTGCGCAGTGTTGGAGATGGGGAGACAGTGGAGTTTGATGTTGTATCAGGAGCGAAGGGTCTAGAAGCAACCAACGTGACAGGACCAGATGGAAGCTCTGTGCAAGGAAGCAAATATGCTTCGGGCCGCCGAAGAAACTACTACCGCAACTATCGAGATTTCCGTTGTGGGAGACGCCGCCCCCGTGGCGGGCTTAACTCCGCTACCAACGGAGAGGTTAAACCGGAGGAGGATGATATGGAGAAGAGGCGACTCTGCCGAAGGTGACGTCCCAGATATAGGCGCAGGTCTAATGAAGAACGCCCTGAAGGCGATGAACAAGAAGAACGAGATGGTGATCATGAAGGAGGAGAAGAGGGAGAAGAGCGTCCGGCACAGAATCGTCGCCGTCATCGTCCTTACCGCAGATCCTACAGGCGCCCTCGTAGAGAGGACGGAGTGAGAGGAAAGTGGCCGATGGGAAGAGTTGAAAGATTGCTTCCTGGAAAAGACGGCTTGATTCGTACTGTTGTTTTGAAGACAAAGAAAGAGCTTCTAAGGAGACCTGTACAGAGGCTACCTCGTCTGGAAGCAAGCAGTACTCAATTTGGAAGTGGTGAATTAGGTGAAAGCGGTGCTTACGGTGGGGAGTCGTTACTCAAAAGGTCAAGAAAAGGGCGAAGAAGAAACAAGTTACACAAAAATCAGTGGCAAGTCTCCAAAGTAAGGGAGAGGTGGGGAGGATGTTCGGGCCCGGACCCACAGTGGGAGGATCTCACGCCCCCCAGTGAGACTGGACTTATGACACGACCACCCTACTGACGACATTTTTTGTTGCTTTACTATTATGGTATATAAAAGCATGTGCTTTTCGCTTGAAGTTATTTTTAGTAGTCTGAACAAAATATTTTAGTAGTCGGAACAAAAAATTTTAGTAGTCTGAACAGAACAAAAGGCACACTCGTCAGTAGCAGATGAAATATGAAAGCCGTCCCAATGTCTTGTGTGTTATGGATGGTAGACAGATATATAGATATACAGCATCACAATGACAACCTGTCTCGTGTCTTTGTGTAACATTTAGCCGTCGAAGCGATCCAGTAAAACCATAGAGACATGATCGTATTTTGGAAGATCAAAATGATTCTGGCGACAACATCTTTTAAAAGCTGTGGCTCATGAAAGTTAGTCGTATATTTTACGTATGTGCTCATCAGATTTGCTCATCTTATCATGTGATTCAGGAAAACGTCAACGATAAAGGGTACCCGATGCTGCAAATGACCTTCTGGATTTAAGTTTTTAAAGCAATTTCGAACGACTATTCAAGTAGAATTAATTTGATTTCATGAATTTGACTGTGATGACTGACTGCGATAAAGTATAAGCCTAAACGTCAAATTTTATCGGTTTCTAAAGAAATTTTAATGTAATAAAACAGATTATTACCCGAAGCTCTGTAAAGGAAAGGTGATTCATTTTCAGAAGCCGAAAGTGGTGTCATTTATTTCACTCTGAAGTCTGGATTTTTAATGTTGAGGAACTGAGTATAAAGACTCGATCACGTCAAAAGTCTATATCTTACTACACTCACCCTACGGTCGTCATGGTTACAAAAGCCCACCAAAAACCTTCTCCGCTTCCTTTGATAAATGACCTTGGAAATTCATCGGGATTATACCACGTGTCCTTTAAAAAAAATGGGACCGTAAGTGGAACGGAGATCATTACAATAAACTCGGTCAGGAAAGATACGGGAAGGAACCGGCAGTAACTAAAATTTAGTCTCCATTATATTCTTCCAAGAATTAGAACTAAAGCGTTGAACATGCAGACATCAATAGATGTGCCGATCTTAGCATTATACAAGACGCGTGTCTTATATGAACTTCGTAATGGGCCTTGCTCACCATAGAGTCCATATGACTCAGTGATAGAGCATCGGAGCGCGGAATCCGAAAGTCTGAGAATGGTTTTCTTTGTCCCACGCTCATTAGTAGACAACAAAACATCTTTATATAAATAGATATCGTCCTCAGTTTTTGTAATTTTAAAATAGATGTACTTAGGTCTACTGATTTAGTGTTATACAATATCGTTTTAATTGATTTTCACTTCCTCGATCATTTTTGACTCACACGTCTGCTGTAAGTATTGTATCTTAATAGGAGAGACTCGTTTTCATTGTCATCATCGTCATTATTATCATTATCATTATTACTATACCTTGGCGAGAGAGAAATTAGCTTCTGCACATTTCAGACCGTCTGAGATCTCGCAATATATACTCTTACGAATAACAACCGTAGAAACTCCTTCAAAATATCTAAATGGACCGAGGCAATAAATATGGCCTGCAAGCGAAATCAAATGATGGTAATAACTTTTACTAACTAGTCCCCACATGATTATACCAGACAGTAAGGCCATTAACATGGTGAGAAGGAGCACAGGCCAGCCAGATAGCACAGAGTTGAACACCGCGTTGGCAGAAGTACCTGGCGGATCGTCAACAACAATGAAAGCTACTCCAGGTGAACTAATCAAGGGCATGAACTTAAAGTCACTCTGATACGTTCGGTCAGCCT